TACTTGTATGCAGTAGTGTTGATAATAACAGTTGTAATTGTATTTCTGTGACTGTGACCTGATGCTATAGTGTTAGTATAACTAAACAGTAAGCCTTCAAGTACTAGCAAGGATGTTTGTATCTCAAATGTGTTCAAAAGCATTTCCTTTTTGGACGCGACTTTGAAAGTAGAAACTACATTCATCGTTTACTTGTCATTCTACTATTTACTGTAGGGACAAGTACTTCAAGTCCCATATCGAGTTCTTGGAAACTCAAGGTATAGGAGGAGTCAGTCATCACAGTTTACTCTTCTCCAAGACAGCACCTCTACCTGTCGCCTGTAGGGGTAGAAGAGGAAGTTGAAAGGTGAAACCCATTTATTTCGTTATCTTTTTATTTAGGTTCAATGATTGATGGATCGTAACAACAGATTGGTTTTTCTTTTTTATATGTCTGTTTCTTTGAATTTTGAAATCTTCACCGGTTTACTTTACTATTCTGGGCACAGAATCAGAGGATCTTCAACTGCAGGAAGTTCATTTTCAAGTTCTTTACAAGAACGCACTGTGAATGGGTAGAGCTCTACGAATCATGGCTTTTATGTAATTTGAGAAAAAAGGGTAAGTTATTTTTCATGTGATGAAATTTCTGGTTTGCATCATTGACAGGGCTGAATATGCTTTCAAGCCAAAGGATGTAAACATAAACAAGAAGCCTTCTTCACCGATTGACGCGGATAAATTGACAGAATCAGAGATTAAACAGAGAATCAACAGGCTGTCACAAACTCTTGCAAATAAGGTACTGTTACACAGTCTTCTTTGGTTAGCAATTTATGCCCGGTTTCCGGTGAAGATGTTCAGAATCTGTTCAGTTTAGTCTAAATAATCAGATAGAAAGGGATGTAAAATCAGTTAAAGAGTGTAATTCTGAATTTAGATTTCTTTCTTTTTTCAGTAGTGCATGATAGTCGCAATTCTTACCAATTGATTTGCCATTGTGATTAACAACGCATTCAGGCAATGGTTTCAAGATTACCAGATAAGGGGGAGAAAATACAAAAGCAAATTGGTGAACTGAATGCGGAGCTTTATAGACTTGGAAAAGTGGAAGCGCAAGGAAATGAGAGAAATGTCATCGACTTGGAACTGAATGATGATATAATTGGGGAGTTCCAAAGAGTGGTGATATAAGACAAGATGTAAGATACGACGTCGTTCGAATTTTATCGGATGTTTCCGAAGGGACGCTGATATCAGATAATTTGACAGATCTGAGCGTTGTAACGGGGAAACTTTTATCATTGTAATTACTTGCTCTTCTTATTTTTCCATTAATACTTGGATACTGACTGGTCCTTATTTGTATTGGGTTGCAACAAGTCTCCTATGCTTATGCAAAAACATAGATTAACAAACAATTTTATATTTCGGTATAAGTTGTTTGACATTTTATTTTTAAACAAATGTAACAGAAGCAACTTTCCTCTTTAATTAAGATGAGATAAATTATAGATCGATCATAAGCCCCCATAAACCATTCCTTTCCTTGCCATAGTTGATGGTTAAAGTCATTACATTACATGCACTGTTCCAAATTTCCAGTTATCACTTCTAGGTAAATACAAAACACCGGCACCTGATTTCACTTTCCAACACCCAAAACAAAATTTCGGCCGTCCGAATCAAGCTACAACATAATCTAGTAACATAAACCAAAGCTTTAAGCTATCAAGTCTCGTTAACAGCCTTGTCAATTTCTTCAACGTGATTCCGTAGCACATCCCACTGCACATGAAAACCTCTACTAGGTGAGAATTCTCTCAGCAGCCAGCTACTGAAATGTAAAAATAATGAAACAATCAAGACAGGCACCAACCTGATCCATCGTCAGTGAGATTCCTGAAAACAAGAGCGACCAAGTCAGAAACTACGCACCGCTTATCCATCAGAAGGCATGCTTAAGGCTAAAAGAAAATAAATATTGCTTTATCATTAAACTAATAGTTATTGCTCTGATTTTTAATTAAGTCGTGCCTTAGCAGAATTTAAGTTCTCTATTTGTCCCCAACGGACACAAACCTGATGGCAACTTAAGATATTGCCAGGTTAGAATTTTCAGGGCTCTAGTAAACCCTCGATTCTGAAAACCATTTCCGTCGGCCTTCCATTCCTTCTAGAGCATTGTCACTAGCCCACCTCATACCAAAACTTGGGCATAAAGGAAAATCTTGACACCCTGGGTCACTGGACCTTCCTCCCTGCCTTGCCCTTCTAGATAACTTTTGTTTCCTTCTCCAAAATATGGCTCTCTTAAATCAACTCACAATTACGCTTACAAGAAGAATCTTTGAATTTGTCAAACCAGCATCTGTCTTCGGGTGCATAACGGGCAACCCCACTATCTGCCACCTCCCATAGTCCAATTTGTTAAAGGATTTCTCTCTTCCATAGAATAAGTGGCAGTCTCCAATCCCTTCAAACAAGATGTTGTGTCTGGTAACATTAGATTGAGGATTCCAATTTCGTAGATTCGCTCTCAATGAACGTTCTAGAACACACTTCATGTGTTTCCCAACCTCCTCTACTTTGTCCTGACTCTTGCTTTATTGGACTGGTCTCAGTACTATATGGAACCCCATGAGCACTAGTGGAGGCAACTATATTTCTAAGATATATAACACACAGGAGAAAACTATATTTCTCCGTTCCTGATTCGAATTTCTCTTAACTAAGATCGATTAGATTTACGATTAAAATAGAGCCCACCTTCGTTTTTCCACTTGAAATGTGACACAGACTCCCAAAACCATAAGAACAAATCATAAATTCTCCAAATATGATCGAAATGCAAAAAACCCAATATAGCAAATTAGACAGTAAAAAGAAATGAAAGTAAAGGTTACCTTTTTTTCCAGGCATTTGCTTGCCATCCTTGACATAGAACTCGCGAATGTCGACCACAACCTTGCCATTCCAGTTCCTCACGCTTACCCTTCTATTCTTGGATATCTACAAATCCCCAAAACCCTAAAATTAGACAGCAGTACCAGTCACACTGATAAACCCTAACCCTAATCAAAGATAGAATGGCAAATTGCGCCAATGCATGGAAAAGAGGAAGAACAAGAGAGAGAGGGTGAGGGTGGTGACCTCGCAGACAGTGATGTCGTCAGAGGAGTCGTCGGAAGAGTTTTTCTTGGAGGCCTTCTTGGGTGGCGGGTGGCCTTCAGAGTCCCCGTCGGAGGCGTGATCGTCCTCATCTTTTCTCTTCCCTCTCCCCGACATTCCCTTCATTGCTGTTTTAGCTTCTTTCGCCCTCGCCACTTCCACTCTTTCTTCTACTCTTCTTTGTCACTTCAACGAGAGGAAGAATAGAAGGAATAACATGGGCCGGGCCGTCATCCTTTCCCAACAAACACTCCAAAGCCCAAAGCCCAAAGCCCAGTCTTCTCCACCTCTACAACTTAAGTTTTTAAACTCCATTGTAATCCCTTGTGAATTTTGGAGCATATAGTCTACATAGCTTTTTTTTTTTTTTTTTTGGAGTTTTAACGAAATATTCTTTGTATTGTTCACTTTTAACGTTAAAGAAATTTTTTTCCTAAAAAGTCATTCCTGGTACTATTCATTTACACCTTTATTTGTCATTTTGATTAAAACCAAAGTTTTTGAGGATTTTTCGTTAGTTTTTTTCTTTTTTTGTCTTGTGTCCATTGTCAATAAAAGGATAGGCATTTTCTCTTTTATAAACTATTAGTGATACGATATGTGACTAAGAAATCAAGCTAAAAGGATTAGAGAAACACCCTCAATTTTTCATTTTTTGCTGATGCTACATTAGAGGACCATATAGGGAATTGTGATTACAAAGTGTTACGAATAAAGCTATTCTATGAGTGTGAATGTATAAATTAAGGAGAGAATTCAATAAGATTTAGGAGACCTAATCCTATTATCACTTAGGGGTTAAGTAAGTCCCTATCTATAATCAGTATAAATTGTGTGATTATCGCAGTTAAAAATGGAAAAAAAACAAGACAAATTCAAAAGTCAAAACCAAATAATCAAAATAAATAACTCCAAAAAACAACGTGGTACGAACGTAGTTCATACAAGGCCCTAATCAACTCGCAAACGTCGAGATTATATCTGCCGTGCCGCTTAGAGTTCTTATAATACCCCCTTGACGACAATCGAGGATGGTAATGATACCATGAGCCCTGAGCTTCGTTCCCGACCTTAGATGCCTCGTGCAATGACATGTCACCTTTTTTCAATAAAAAAAGTACAGCCAGCTTCAGCTGGGGTGTGCCGAACGAAACATGTTGGGCCTTATTATGCTGGGTCAACACTCCGATTTGTTCAAACCAGGCCCAATTAGGGTTGGTTTTCGCTTGTGCGCTTCTTGGCTCGTGGCCTGCCAGTACCCTACTTGGGCCTTAACGCAGCACAACAGCCCAAATAAAATTAGAAAAGTGTACACTTGAGCCCAACTTAAAACATATAAAAATAGAAGAATAATATTAAAGAAGATCAAAATTTTTAAACTAAATTGCAAACAAATAATGTGTCACTAATAAAAAACAAACACGTTAATCGATACTTAATTAATAATCCAATCATCTACCACTACATAATTTAGTTTAAAAAATTTGATATCCGTTGCATAATATTGGCCCACCTGGCAGACTGTTATGTGAATTCGCAACTTGTTTTGTCGTGCGTCTTTTGGGATCATGATACTCTCTTGAGCAAAGGATAGGGATCATCTTGATCAAGCCCATCGAATCGTTGAAATTTTATTCAACGGTTACAATTATTATAACTTTAGAAAGACCTTCCGTTTGTAACTGTTGAATAAAATTTCAACAATCCAATTAGCTTGGTCAGGAGGATGCTCACCTTTCGGCTTGTAATTGGCCAAAAAAAGAATTTTTTCCTGTATGGTCGGTCACGAGTCGAACATCACAGCTGCCTTTCCTACGAAAACCCTCGAGCACTCGGAGAACTCCGGAGCGAGAAAGAAGATTTACTGTGGGGAAATTAGGAGGGAGCAAAGCAAACCCAATCAAATCATCGTGGAAGATAATTGTGAGTGAATTGTAATTAATTCTCAACGAACACGAAATGGTTTAAGAAGTTATCGGATTAGAAGAAGATTGATAGATGGGGAATTTGTTCGTGAAGAAGCCTAAGATCACGGAGGTTGATCGAGCGATTCTTTCTCTCAAGACCCAGAGACGCAAGCTTGCTCAGTACCAACAACAGGTCTTAATCTTAATTCTTAATATCTACATGTGGATAATCCTGTCAAATAGAAATAAATTCTCCTTCTCATCTCAAATGGGTAACAGAAAACGAAGAATTTAATTCATTTTTTGTCGACTGAAGAATTCCCATTTTTTTTTTTTAATGGGGTTTTGAATTTGCATATACTTTTGGAATTTTTAATATTTGCCCATTGATCGAGTTCACTTGTATCCCACTTTGCCCAGCTCGAAGCTGTAATCGAAGCCGAAAAGCAAGCCGCAAGGGATTTGATTCGTGACAAGAAAAAGGAAAGAGCTTTGTTAGCGTTAAAGAAGAAGAAGGCACAGGAAGAATTGTTGAAGCAAGTTGATACCTGGGTTATTAATGTTGAGCAACAAGTATGTAATTGCACAACCCTACCCTACATGTCCATTTTCTTTCTTTCGATTTCCTTTAAGACCTGGTCTACCTTCAGAGAAAGCAAACAACATGTTGACACTAAATACTTTGGTTCAGTTGCAAGATATCGAACTGACAAGCAAGCAGAAAGCGGTATTCGAGAGTTTGAAGGCTGGTAATAATGCGATTAAAGCGTTACAAAGTGAGATCAATCTCGAGGACGTGCAAAAGCTAATGGATGATACTGATGAAGCTAAAGCATACCAAGATGTGAGCTTCACTTCTCGTATTTATTTTTTTTGGTTTTATTTATTTGGTATTGCACCAAAGTTTCCTTGGGTTGCATTCTTAGAATGAGGATCTCTATCAAACGCATTTTGGCAATTTGGGAAGATTTTTATTTGTCCACCAAGTTTTGAAATTTATGATGCTCCTTATGTGCAAGGCTCTCCCTCTTCCCCTTCCCCTCCCTCATCTTGGATTTCTGTTGTTGTTTTTATTATAAATCAAGAGCGAGAAAATGTTTACTCTAAGTTGAGTTTGTAAAGATCGGCGGTTTTGTAAGGTTTATACATGTTCTTTTCCTATTGACAAGTCTACTTTTCAACCCCCACCCATCCCCCTTGTTGATACTATATCTGCTGTGATCTCATAAAAATTATGCCTCTGTTTTTTAACATCATTTGCGTGTATTCTGTCCCATATATTTTTCATGTCTTTGTAAACAATTGAGTTAACATCTAAACTTTGTCTTCTTCTTTGCTTATCATCTTCTCCTCAGTTTTTTCTTTTTAATAAATTCTGCCGTTTCTCTCATGATTTTCTTTTTGTTAGGAAATTAATGGAATCTTGGGCGAGAAATTATCAGCGGAAGATGAAGAGGATATTTTAGCAGAATTAGAGAACTTGGAAGCTCAGGTAATGACATTTCTATTCTAATAATGGGTCCACAAAACCCTAACGATTATTTTGCTTCCTGTTTGTCATGTTTTCCCTTCTAAGTCTTTTTTATGTAGCCAATCTGTTCCTGTTTCAATACTTTATGTAGTAATTAACATACAATTCATTGCTGCTTTCTGAGATTATTAGAAATCCTCATGTTGTATCTAGGATTGTTGTGTAAAAATCATTTTTTCATACTTATTAACATGGTGAAAGTAAGTCCTTTTCTCTTAGGTGCTCTTCATTTATCCGATTACCAATATTGTTACTACCCATCTAGTTTTCATGCAATGCCATATATTTGAGGTCTTTCACCGGATCGTCATTTATGTTGAAATTGGATCAAGCAGATTTTGTATTACCAATTAAATCATTAATGAACAAACTGCATATCAAATCATAGCATGAACGTTCTTTTGATTGTTTCTTGTCTTGTTAGTTTTACTATTCTGGTATCACATGATTTCATCTCATCTAAAAGTGAAACTCCGCTCCTTTGTCAGATCACCGTTCAAGATCTGCCTACAGCTCCTGCTTCAGTGCTTCCTCAAGAAAATGAGAAGTTGGACCTTCCTGATGTACCAACCAAAGTACCAGTTGCACCTGATGTGGTTACGACTGATGAAGTTTCCACCAAGACAAAAGGTCTCTCTCTCTCTCTCTTGCTCGTTAACTGCTAATTGCTCGTTAACTCAGTTGCAAATGCCTGACAATATTTTGGGGATATGCAGTGATGGAGGAACCGTTGGTGGCTTGATTGGATTGAACAGTTGAATTAGGTTGCCGTCTGGTCAAACTGTTTTCAAACGTCAATCGATCCTCCTCCCTTCCGCAACGATTCATGTACCAGTAAAAATTATGTAGTTGGGATAACTTTGATTGTGCTCGTTCTTGATTACCCGAATTGGTTTGTACAAATATGTGTTTTTCAGGACCCAGTCCAAACAGAGCATTGGTCCAACGTGTATTATATTTTGCCTCCCCCTGACCGACGTCGGTCTTTCTTCATTGAACAAACAATGGGAAACAAGAATGTGAATACTCTGGGATGAAACTTGTTTGTTAATTGTGCTGCCCATGGCAAATTATTTCAGTCTTATTTGTGTTTTGAAGAAATAGATTCCAACTGTTCAACCCAAAGAGCAACATCCCTGCCTAAACTAACAATCCAAATTTCAACATTAGACATTAGTTTTGCCAACAAAAAAGCAAGAAAAAATTGGACAATTCTTCAGTTTTCTGATTAACGAAATTTACAGATCAATGTCCCATGTCTCCATAAACTCAGTTGAAACTTGCTCCAAGTTATGGTACAGGCTTATTTTGGCCTAACATATTATTACACATATGACAGTGCCACCCGATCTTAATTACATCCGAAACCAAGGACTGGACTGGAGATCACAAACAGAATTCACAGATCTACATGAACATCCCCTCCATCGCCTTTGGAGCTCAAGCTTGGCAAACTTAAAGGTACAACGCTAGAAAATCTTGATAGGATGAGTCTTGCAACATTCTCAGCTGCAACAGCACTCGTCTCCATTGTACTTGCTGCATTCTCCAAAGCATTCACGTAGTACAAATGCTGACCATCCAAAATAAACGGTGCAAATACTTCAGGAGCTGTATAATGAGGGTATGCACCCCAATTTATTCGAATTGTCTCCGTCCTCACGCTAGTAGTTGCACAAGAAAACCAATAATCAGTATTTATTTAAAGGATCAAGGGCCTCATGAACAAGATGACGATTCCAAAGGAAAATTTGACAGTTGTTAGAGAAAGGTCACTCAAACATTCTGCTTGTATCCAAGCAAAACAAAAAGATAAAAATACAGAACAAATGTTACCCGTATTACTACTTGACTCTAAAAACAAATAGACTAGACGAGCATAAAGATTTTAGTGCAGTACACACCCTTGAGTTTGCTTGACCCTAGGCTCAATTTTAATGCAGTACACAAACAAGGCACGTCTAAGGTTAATCAGTTTTAATTCCATTTGCTAGTTGAATCTTGGTTCAATCACAGAAGAGGAAAACTGAGGAAACTCTGAGGGTGGAATATGTATGTCAGTATGTCAAGCACCCTATTCTCTTTTGCTGTATCCAGAAAACGAGTGCTCACTATTTAGAAAACTAGACTGTTACCTGAAGATACTATCTAGGATTGCATCTGCCATTGGTTTACGAGAGAATATCTTGTAAGTGAAATCTTTCTCATCATGTTGCTTCAGAACTGATATACTTGAGAATGGAAGATCAGGAATCTCAATAGTGCCAACCAATTCCGGGATTTCTGCCACAGAATTCAGGCCAAAATATACCTTGCCCCAAAAAACAAAGAATAATAATTAGGGATAGCATAAAGATTAAACCCAAAATCATACGTAACTGAAAAAAATAAGCATACACACATGATTTTTAGCAATGCTGGTTACTTACAGGATTTAAGAGGCCCCTAACAAAAGTTGCATGCGTGTGTTGCAATTCTCTCTTAGGGATGGAGATTGGAGGATTAAACTTGAGACTCAACTCATCTAGAGGTGAAGCAACCACTGCTATGTCACATGTATAACTGTTCCGCAGGGTGGAATTAAGCTCATAATATTCTCCATTTGATGAAATGGACTCTATCTCTTCTTGAAGGTGCAATTCAACATTAGAACGATCAATCAGTCCGGCAGCCATCTGCCAGTTCCCTCCTTTGATGGCCCACAATCCTCCGCCTGATCCAGCCAATGAAACTGCACCAGCAAGTCCACTCATACTGACACTTTGGCCATAATTGATTCTTGTGATGACCTGAAGAATTCAGCAGAGTGCTAAGTTATAATGGGACTTTTGAAAAACTCAAAAGACTGCTGCACTTTATTTAATTTTGTTGTTTTTTAGCAGAAGACTGCTGCACTTATAAGCCAACTCCATAGTTCAGCATACCAAAATTTCAACAAACCAAGAGTTTCCTTAAGTTGAAATGAAGTAGAACCTCTCCAGGCACCCATGACACATGCTTTTGTTTCCATATACACTGATATAAAGATAACCAGAAGAAAAAAAACGAGAAGCCCTATATGCTAAGAAAACTAACGTATAAGAACAACAATAACAATTTTAGACTAGGGAAAATAAATGGCATGCCCTATATCCAGTTTATCTAATCCTCATCCAGGATACGGTATATTATACACAAATGAGGGGGAAAAAATCAGAATCAAATAAAGTACTTTTGAAACTTGAGGCTATACATCCATTGTTCTTAATTGCTTGTCTTGCAAAACTTTATCCCACCAAAATCCACAAGATATCATCATAAACCACCAAAATGACATTTACAGTTCTAATCTGAGTATGCTTCAAAGTTATGATCCCATCCATGATGACAACGTTTTAATAAAACATTGAAACAATTTGTGCCGATTCTGTGAAATTTGAAGATGCATGGATCTAAAACCACTCATAACAGAGCACAAAAATCCTCTTTTGGCAAGTTTTTAATATCTAGATTTGATAACAATGTGGAAAACATGCAGCACAGCTTGGTAGCACCTTCTTTTTTCGATTACAAGATCTCGCAGGTCTCTCTATTCCTATATAATACTTCAACTGGGCATTAATGAGCGCCCAATGAAATCAATTCAAATTAAGGGCATGAAAAATCTTTATATTAATGAGACTTTATGCATGGACGTAAGATAACAGGGGCGCCAAAAAAGAAAGAACCTTTTCTACTCCTTCCTATATCTACTTTTTGCACAAGATATCATACTATATATTACAAACAGAAGACAAGATCACAGAAGCTCGCTATCATTGAAGTAGATCACTTCAATGGTAGTTGTTTAGGGGTGAGGATGAGACCTCTTTCCCACTTGCCGACCATACACCTCAAATAAAAAGTTTTTTATTTACTTTTTGCACAAGATATCGTACTAACTATTGTAAACAAAAGATATGCTTAGCAGAAGCAAGCTGACATTGAAGTAGATTTCTTCCCCACTCTTATGTAGTTATAAGCAGTGAAATTTTTAACTGAAATATTTTGGTGATGTTTCTTCCATTTACTATTTTTTGTTTTGTTTTGTTTATATGAAACAGACAACACTTCTGGATTTAGAAACCCCACCCCAGTAACCATGTTCGAAATAAGCATATGAGAAAAAATGAAATATTTGGCTGACGTTTCTTCTTTATACTATAGTATCTACAAGCTACAGAAGCTCCAATACACTTGTGTAACATGAATTTAAATTCTAAACAGTCAACGAACTTGCGGAGAAGTACCAATATGTTTATTAAAATCAAATTATCAATCATGTTAAGTTGAAAGCATAGAATCCGAAGTTAACAGAAGTGAAACTATTGATAATTGCAATCCATTAAAGAAAGCTGGGGACTTTGGTTCTTACAGTGACAAGCTCTTGTATCAAGAGGGGAGACAGTCTGGCATCGGCCAGTTCGACAGCCAAAGTGGTGGTGGTGAGATTGTACAAACCAGCCCATTTGAGCATCTCATCCACCGTCTCGAAAACGGGTCTCGTCTCAAAGCTTTCATAATACTTGCAGAACTTGTTTACAGCAGTCTGCACCACACAAAGAAATTCACCAAATTCAACAACAAAACCCTAAGTTAAAACTCAATAAATAAACCATTTATTTAGTTTTATACCTCAACAAATTTGTCCATCCTGATAAGGGAGTAGCCGTATCTGAAGAGCATGAGGAGTGAATTGGCAAGCGAAACTATCTTATCGACAAAGGGAAGCTCTGATTTGAAGCTCAGAGTCTTGAACACAAACTTATGGCCGTCCCAAATTCCAAAAGCAGAAGAGGAGGATTCGTCGGAGGAGGAGGGGCTATTGACGGCGAGGTTGAGGAGCTTGGAGTAGTTCAAAGCGTGCAGGTTCCTGGGGTGGAGAATGGAAGCGCCAGCCTCGAAAATGTGGCCGGACACGTTGACGGTGGCCATGCGACCACCGACGATGGGGTTGCGCTCGAAGATCCGGACCGTGAAGTTGAGATGAGGGGGGGAGTAGCGGCGGAGGAAGTGGGCCACGGAGGAGCCACCGATGCCGCTGCCGATGATGCAGACAGTAGAAGCCGAGTCAACAGCATTTGCATTTGCATCTGATAGGAGGAGGAGGAGGAAGAGAGGGAGGAGTGAGAAAATGAAGGTGGTTGTGGGAGTTGACGCCGACGACAACGACATGACTGAGGGTCCGGGAGGATGAGATTTATGAAAGTTTCTTCTTCTTTCTCTAGTTAATAACTAAATAGTTACATATTTGTACTGTACAAAACCACAGTACAAAACATAGTCCAAAAGGTCTATCTAACCCAAGCGTCAAATATCACAACTTGCATGCTACGGGACATGACCGAGAAAGAGGATCCACCAAATCCTCTCAATCCACTAATTCGGATCCTTAAAATTTGATTCATTGGTTAAAGTTATTGTAAGTTTTAAAAGATCTTTTGTTTATAGCCGTTGGATTAAATTTCAAAGGTGTATATTGATAGATTGAGAGTATTTGATCGAAAGGATCCGAAGATGATCATTTTCCTCGAGAAAAAGCTTCAAGTGCCGTTCGTGTTGCACTACGTATTAATTAGGAATTTAAAGACGAGTTTTAAGACTAAGTTGTATATCTAGCGTAAAAGAGTTGAAAAAGGGGGGCAAAAGGAATGCGAACGAAATGAAACTAGAGCCATGGTAAAGGAAATGAGGGTCCTCTTCTTGAAAACTTGTATTTATATGTTGGATAATATTTGAGTACTCGTTGAAAGTATTCAATTTACTAACTTCATGATGTGGCTAATGAGAATAGTTTGTCGTCTTATTTAAAGAGTGTGTATTCAATTGAGATTTTTAGAGATTTTAATATATTTATAAAAAAAATTATGAAGTTTAATAGATTTCTAGGGATTTTATACAAAACTTTGAGTAAATTCTCTCAAATTCTCAGGAGAAGATGTGAGATTTAAGAATGCTACAATATAGTACGAAATCTCTCTAATTCTCTCGAATTCCCCAACTATTTAAAATCCTTTAAACTTCAATTTCTAATTGAATACATTTAGAACGTTAAAAATTCGTTCAAAATTCTGATTGAATGCGCCTAAATTTTAAAAAATCATTCAAAAATTTCAATCATAAAGTTTTCAATTTGTAATTTAGCATTTAACCATACAAAAGTAAAGCAAAGCAAACCTTCGACCTCCTTACAATTGATCCAACACAAACAAATTTAATACAATTCGTTACGGTCGAAAACGAAAATTTCAATCTCACCTGCACCCCTTCCCTTGTATTGTTATTCATATATGTAGAAAACACAAGTATCTTGAATCCAAGTTAGGTGCACAGTCCTGTCGTATAAACCACTTTAGATGGTTCCGACTCGTAGGTGACCCGTAATTATTCGCACAGTCTTCACGTGATCATAGCACTTGAGCATATTTATTTACACCCAGTCCTGTTGTACAGACCACTTTAGGTGGTTCCGACTCATGTGCAGGTATAGTTAGTAAGTTGGGGATTTGAGCTCTAGATTCAGCCGTACAAGTCATGGTAGGTGACTCCGGCTGACATGTTACTTGCATTGATTGACATTACCTGAGTTACTTACATTTTATGTGGAGGCATTCGACATAGCATATTTCTGAACATGTTTTTGATATATGTGTATATTCTATTTTCTGGGAAACTATATAGGTTTACGGCGAGGTGTTAGAACTTTTGGTAATGAAATGATTTTGAAAAACTTTGTTTTTGCCCACTCACACTTTCTATTTTGCGCCCCTCCAGGTTCTAGTTAGAAGCACAGCTTTGGTGGTTCACGAGGACTTGACGGTGATCTGATAGAGCATCACAAATGTAGGATCACCTTTGAGTGTTGTGTAATTAATATTCTTTCTTTTGGACTGCACTAAGGCTTTCTGTGCTCTGATTATGTTTATCCCACTTAGTCTCACACTAGTGTGTTACTTTAATTAGTTTATTTAGTAGTTTGGTTTTTATTTATTTGTATTTTTATTATTATCTTTTGCTTCCATACTGTGCACATGACTACGTCACCCTCACGTGAGGGTCAGTACGCCTTGATTTCGATCGGGGTGTGTCATGTGTTGCACTACGTATTAATTAGGAATTTAAAGACGAGTTTAAAGACTAGGTTGTATATCTAGCGTAAAAGAGTTGAAAAAGGGGGGCATAAGGAATGTGAACGAAATGAAACCAGAGCCATGGTAAAGGAAATGAGGGTCCTCTTCTTGAAAACTTGTATTTATATGTTGGATGGTATTTGAGCACTCGTTGAAAGTATTCAATTTACTAACTTCATGACGTGGCTAATGAGAATAGTTTGTCGTCTTATCTAAAGAGTGTATTCAACTAAGATTTTTAGAGATTTTAATATATATATATATATATATATATATATATAATTATGAAGTTTAATAGATTTCTGGAGATTCTACACAAAACTTTGAGTGAATTCTCTCAAGTTCTCAAGAGGAGAGATGAGATTTGAGAATGCTACAATATAGTACGAAATCTCTTTAATTCCCTCGAATTTCCCAACTATTTAAAATCCTTTAAACTTCAGTTTTTAATTGAATACATTTAGAACGTTAAAAATTCCTTCAAAATTCTGATTGAATGCACCGAATTTAAAAAAATCATTCAAAATTTTCAATCATAACTTTTCAATTTGTAATTTAGCATTTAACCATACAAAAGTAAAGCAAAGCAAACCTTCGACCTCCTTACAATTGATCCAACACAAACAAATTTAATACAATTCGTTACGGTCGAAAACGAAATTTTCAATCTCACTTGCACCCCTTCCCTTGTATTGTTATTCATATATGTAGAAAACACAAGTACCTACCTACCTACCCAGTACCCACCATCAACTTTAAGCTCCTTTCAAAGTTGTAAAAAGCAAGATGGAGGGGGTATAGTGGCAGAATCATTTACATGGGCAAACTATTGTCCATAGACATGTACTGTTTTAAACATAAAAGAAAAATAGTAAACATCACCTCTATGTCATCCAAGAGAAAAGACTTGAAGACGAAATTAAGGACATCGAATTTGCATATTCCGGCCATTATTAGCAGCTGAGAAATTCTTAGCCTCGCGTGTGTATCAAGTAATCAAGCAATGCAGGTACAATATCTGTTCAGTCTCTACATCATGCGTCGCCTGTCAAAAAGAAACACGTAACCCTCACCTCAGAAGAACATTAAATCAGTACTTTACAATGAAACAAACTTTGCCTAGTCTCAAGTCATAGAAAACCATTTCATGACAGATAGAGATTGGTCTATTACAAGATTGTTAAGGCTTCGAAATAACTATGCCACGCATCAGGAGCCTAATGCATGAGACAGTTTCTTTTTTTGGTCAAAAGGTGCATTTATAAACGCAAAAGGCAAAAGAAAGAAACGGATGCAAACATCTCCAACTAGGAGAAGAGACGCTAAGTTTTTACATGAGGCAGCCGCAGGAACAAGTTCCACAGAGCAAAGGCAAAGCTCCCAAACCAACAAGGTTCCAAAAGTCAACCTAAACCTTTTCAACCTTTTTCCCCTAATTTCTATTCACACAACAATCCAAGAAAAAAAGGTCCGAACCTAGTGACATTCTGTTATTATACAATTCTAACCCGTATTATACTCCTAGGTAAGCACCCTTGGAAAATACTCCTCTTTTCCTTACACAATTAAGGTTGAGGAATACATGCTTTCTTGAAAATGTGTTTTTACAATTATACAACAAAAACAGTTATGCACAATTCAAGTCTTCATACAGTATAAGTGAAAAAAAAACCTATAAATAAATTGAAAGTTAACTCATAATTGAAAACTTCAATACAAAAATGTTGTATCTGAAATCTGAAATGGTTTCCTCCTTAAGTACCAAAAAAAGGGAAACACACACACACAAAGCCCAAGTTTGTAGTCTTGGTTTCTTAGCGATGACTAATAAATCCTGGTGTAATATAGTAATAGATACAATTGTCAGTTTAAAGATTGTTTTTTATATTTTTGCTTTTACTACTTACCCGTCCTGCTTACGCAAAAGCCTCATCTATAGTGATCAGAGTTCACCTAGGGGTGTCAGACGGCTCCTGCCTGTTTGCATAGAGTTCAAGAAACTATATAAGCATGGTGATGAAATTGATTATTTAGGTGCATGGGGAAGACAAAAGCATCATGAGCACATCCAGAGGAGGCAAGGCATACCTTGTTGACGCCCACGAAGTTGAGATGCTTGGGAACTCAGCAAACACATTTGAGTAAGACTTGGTTAAGTATGAAAAGTTAGCAATTGGAGGTAGTGCAGGCACCCTTTCGCCTTTTTTCAAAAGCTCTTGCAAGTCCAACCTCTGCAAAGTCAAGACAGCCCTGGACTCCTTCCAAATGAAGGCAAGTTGACCATCTTCAAACACAAAGAGGGAACCGGGTTTCGAGCCAGGGTATCTAAAACCATACCCGTTGGCAATACCCTCACCTTTAAAAGCATGATTAACATTCACGGGATGGGAATCAGCATCAGTATCCCAAGGGAATGGATCCAATGAAGGTTCATCGATATTTACTATAAACATGGCTGAGCCATTAGGGTGTAGAACATAGTGGGTACCCTCTAATATTTTGGTTGCAATTAGAAACTGTTGCCCCTCGCACTCTTCATAAGAAAGCAAAAGGAAGAAGAGAGCCTTTCCAGGCTTGTCTTTGGTCGGCCTCCCGGGAGGCCACCCAAAAGTGCCTCCCCATAAACCAGCATACTCTTGCTCAGCAGTTGGGATCCGCAAAGGCAATTTGTATAGGGCAAATCGACTTTCATGCATGTTTGGCCATGCTCGATAAGAAGATAACTTCACAGTGGAAGCATGTAAAGTCAGTTCTATTGTATCACCTGATTTCAGAAAATCCTGAAGGGATGCATACTTACTCTCACTGCTGGAAGAACTATTCTTTGAATTACCATTGACAGAGATTGACTTTCCCAGCATCTGATTGATGCTATCCCTAAAGTACCTGCCAAGACTTCTCCTCCTGTTGCATTGTCTGTGGCCATCATCCTCATTGATAGAACTTTGCGAACCACTTGACTGATCAAGACAAGATCTGATCTCACTTAACCGCAGTTGAGTGGGATTCGGAGGAAGCAGATTACTTTCCTTCAAATCCATCTGATATCCACCAAGTTTACGCATTTGAAAAAGCAATGATCTTCGTTCCAATAAGAGCGCTGTACCAATCTGAGAGTTCTCCCCACTACCCCTCAACCTTGGAAAGAGTGGCCCAATTGCTGCATCGGGAACCTTTAGACGGATTTGGTTCATGAAAACCTCAAGCAATTTTCTCCTGTCACTGAAAGCCAAACGACTGAAGGGCACTGAAGTCTCACTCTGCTGAAACACCCTCTGTGACCTTGAAAGTTCACTATTCGACCTACAAATCTTCCTTGACAGCTCCTTATCTGAGTCATTAACAAAACTCTTGCCGTGCAACAATTCAACCCCATTTTTATGGGGTCTAGGCTCGATCTCAAGCAACAGAACATTGCATGACCTGCCAACAGGTTTCACAAAACCAGGATAGACATAGTCCTGTCCCTTGTCCCTTCCATGTAGAAAAAAGGACGAGGAACCATCAGAATCACCAATAATTTCAAATACAGGAGCCCAGAGAAGAGGGCCATCCTCAATGCCTAACGGGCCGAGTTCTTGAGGTATAATGCGGCAGCCAACAACGGAAACAAAACCTGGCATGACATAGACTACATTGCCAAGCTCTGGATTCTGGTGAACCCAAATTCCCATGAGAGGCTGAACACTACAGAGAAAGCGGCAAAGCGCCTTGAAAGATGAGACGGCTTGACGCCAGACAAGAAGGTCTTGGAGAGGTACAATTCCAAGCATCTGGCATTGGGTGAGCCAGACCTTATCGGAGTAAACGAGTTCAGAAAAACTCCGGCAGCAAAGACCGAGATTACAAATGTCCCGAGGTGAAAGGGAGCAGATGACAATGGAAAACACATCATCTGGCAGACGCAGAAGCCAGCTGGAGCTACAGGATTCCGACGACATGACCGTCACCGACGGACCATTCACTGTCAACAACAAATTCAACACACAGGCACAGCTACAATCAATCTATCTTTACATCTAACATACATGATTTACACACACACACACACACATATATATATATGCATAGTCTGCGCAATTCACGATTCACAAAATTCAAAAAACTAAGAAGCAAAATTGTGAAACAATCAGTAACAAATTCCTTCAAGACACTCCCTTTCTCACCAATTAAGAAGAAAAAAGAAGACAAGTTCACGGATCAGACCTGAAGCTGAAGTGGGTTTGCCTTCACTCATTGAAGCGCCATCTCTGAATTGAGAGAGAGAGAGAGAGAGAGAGAGTAGGAACTAGGAAGGAACAAAATTAAAAAAATGGGGGTAATTTTCAGAGCTTCCAAATCTGCATCGAACAATCGGAATAGGATGAGGTCAAATATCTCGTGGAATCAAAGCCGATCGAGTCAGCCACCCAATACTGAATTTGAATGGTGGTGAGCGAGCTTCAAGCCTAAAGCCCAAAAGTCCATGCGCGCACCACACCAGTGCGCGTATGAGAGAGAGAAGAGAGAGACAGACAGAGAGAAGAGAGAGAGAGAGAGAGAGACAGAGAGAGAGAGAAATAATATTCCACAATTTCCACAAGGACTGGTGACGGGGGTGATGTAGGTAGTAGACTCCAATGATTCTTGACTGATTGACCCCTCCCGTGTCCCAGTGTGGAATAACAGTCTGATTCCTACAACCATCGTGTTGGGCAGATGGGCCATGCCCACGCCCTTGCTGTGGGACCGTGGGTGGACGTGGTTACTTTTGATTCGGTTCGAGCAAAAAATACAGAAAGGATGAATTTTTTTCTTTCTCTTATTATCTTTTTCTTTATACTTAGCCGGTTACGAAGTTAAAATTTTATATTAATTTTTTTATAGAAATAATAAAACAAAAAACAAGATATAAGAGGACGGGAGGAAAAAGATAAGAATATAAAGAGAGAGAATCTTATTTCAAAAATATAACCAAATCAATTAGCATTTAATAATTTAGTTTTAACTAACATTGTCATTGAAATCGAGTCAAACAAAATTATTGTAATTTCGGTCAGTTTAAGTCTATTCAATGTATCAACAGTAAGATCCAAAGCTTTAATTTTCTAAAGATACATGCATCTTACACGTTTCATAGCTGATATGGTCGTCGACATGGTGGTCGGGGTAGTAGATATGGCGGTTGATTTCTTCCCAAGTATTCACCAATGTCTGATCAGACTCGGTGCATTCATGTACGTTTGGCCTTCCGGCCACAATCCTCAAGGATGTTAATTGTTCAGAGCATTACTATTACAAGTAGTGTGAGGAAAAGTTCATAAAGTTCCAAAGTTTATATACACCATATGGAAAACTGCGGTTATTATGCGTTATTCTGAGTCTCCTGCCATATTTTCTCTCGTCATTCGCCTCGACAAGTATAACAGAGAGACTCAGAGGACTCGAGGGGCGGTCAGACTGCCATACAACAACTACTAGGTCAAGGAGGAAGTCAGGACTCGAATCTTGCAAACAACCTCTCTTCCAGGACCTAGTTCAAGTGACTCAACCAGCAGGCACTGACTTTGGATGGACAATCACAAAAGGAATTTACAACAGAACCTACTGATACGGTACAATGCGTGTCCAAAAACGTGACTAGTTAAAGCTTGATGAGCGGCTCCATCTGCCTTGCAAGTAATCCTCTAAAGCGATGCTTTGCTCGCCACTGCTAACAGAAACGGAATCATCTTCCAAATCTCGCAGTGCAAGGTTAAGATGGGATTGAATGCTACAAGAAGGTGCTTCTCCATCCACGGCTTCATCTTCTGATACACTCACTTGTCTTGCCCACCTTGTCACTTCTTCATCTCCTTGCAGAAGCTTCAAAACCTGGCAAAAAATGCAAATCACCAACAATTAAATAAATTTGCAGATAAATTAAAAACCAAATAATTAAGTAAAATTCAAAGTTGAAAACGAAAGAAAAAAGTACAAGACTTACTACGCTGATATTAGGCCGAAGGCCAGGTGCATGTCTAATACAAAGGTTAGCAGCCAAAATCATTCTCTCAATTTGATCATGATCATAGGCAATACCCAGGCTTGGATCTAGCAGTTGTGCGACGTTCCCGCTCTTCAAAATTGGCTTTGCCTGGAATTAAATTCATTCAAGTTTTATTTTACAGAACCACAACACACTTGATTGTAAAGAAACATTTGCTGGACTCTGAAACAGAAAATCCACTTTCTTTCTTGAAGGAAATGTACCATTCCATTTAATATTACATATCCGAAACGACTAAAATATTAGAAGATTACGCACACAAATATTTCCATGTCCCAAGTTTGCACAGAGGTGAGGACTTACCCACATCACCAGACTTTCCTGGCCCTTTGGGTCCTTACTGAAGATTGGTTTTCTCCCAGAAAGAATCTCAAGGACTACGACTCCAAATGCATAGACATCAATTTTATCACTCACTTTGCCATGCATGAAGTATTCTGGAGCCAAGTAACTGTCACAGTAAAGAAGAGCGTTAGCAAGAATACCAAATGGTGAAACTATATACTAAAAGACCACTACTCACCCAAATGTTCCTGCCACATCTGTGCAGCTAATATCGGTTGACACTGATGCCGAACAAGCAAGTCCAAAATCTGAGAGCTGAAGAACCAATATATAAAAGTTGATCAGCAGAGGAAGCTTCAAATGATAAACAAGAAATACTAAGGTTACAGCACAGAACCTGCGGCTCGAAATCATCAGAAAGAAGGATATTGGAAGACTTCACATCCCTGTGAATTACAGGTTCTTCACAACCATTGTGTAGATAATCAAGTGCCTCCGCGACACCTATCGCCACATTATATCTCTGCTTCCAACCAAATGCATTTGCATCCTTCTTATTACCTTGACCAGAAAATTGTGCTTCATGAGTTAAGAAAATTGACAACAGAGAAGCAAAACATTTGTCAATACTAATGAGATAGACCTTGAACAATTATTTACCATGGAGGTTCTCTTCTAAGCTTCCTCTTGAAATAAAATCATAGACTAAAAGTAAATGGTTCTCCTCGAAACAAAATCCAACTAGGGAGATTATGTTCTTGTGGTTTAAAGATTTGATTATCTCAATCTCATGAACAAACTCTTTTAATATATCTCCAGATGGCTTCAGGATTTTCACTGCCCACTCCTTTCCATCTAAAGGACACCCTCTATAAACATAACTACTGCCACCTTTACCAACCATGTTCTCTGAAACATGCGAGTTAAAATTTGTGAGAATAACATCCCGCTTGAAGTACACTTAAAACCAGGAACATAAAATTAGGGAAAGGAAACAAACCAGGAATGAAGTTGGATGTTGCTGACAAAAGCTCCTCGTAGCTAAACAATCTACAACTGGATGATAATTTCTTACATGAATCCACAAATTCTTCAGGAAGGGGGTCATTGCCATGGTTAGGGAATAGAGGAGAGTAGATTGCATCCGGCTCAAACGGCACAATTGCTCCACTTATTCCATCCAGCACGGAAGAAGAATCTTCACCATGGCAAGAATTATTCTGTTTCTGATCAGGATAGATTACAGATGAAGTATGCCAGCTCAATGGTCTCAGGACCCATCGAAAAACAGATGTCTTTTTCCCAGATTTCTCCACGTGTTGCCGCTTTGGCAAAAAGGCCTGACGTATAAGCGACCAACCAGGTTTCAAACACTGTGAATCTTGAAGCTTGAAAGAGTTTGAAGCGATGTCTAGTCTTTGGATTGGTACCAAAGCCAATGAATTGTCTTCAACACCTTCCGCTGGCAACTCATCTGCCAATTTAGTCCCAGAATTGTCCAGCAAAACTGGATCTCCAACACAAGTCTCACAATTTATCTGAAGGGTTTTCTTTCCACACCTGGAACAGGATTTTCTTACGAAATGTCGACATTGATTTAGTTCAGAATCATTAGGTGCTTTTGCATCCTTGCTCAGCGACTCACCAACCAAGCTAGTATGAACATAGCTCCGGTTCTGACCATTACCTGTTCAACGACATGGGAAATAAGCAAAATAGTTAAGCCTATTACTTGAATCAAAACCAAATTTATACCGCAATTAACAAAAAAAACAACCTCTAGGCAGCATCAGACTAAAATCAACAAAATCCAGAAGAAGAAAGTTACAAAAACCTTGAAATTGATCTGCAGTCCTATCAGTTCCGACCCTCTTGAACACAATTTTTCCATTATCAACAGCAAAAACAGAGAAATTTTTAGACAATTTTCTCGCACAGTACTTGGCAACGGAAGTCGATGATGATCCAATTCTGTGGTGGGTTTTAGATGTTCCAACAATGGTAGTAGCCGCATGAAATGCTTTTGCTTCCCGAACGAGCAGCTTTCGGACCGAATCGCCTCTACAGACCTTAAGCTTCAGATCAACCTGTTCACAATTGAAGTGCAGTCTCAGCCTCCAAACGAAACAATTAGAATAAGAAGATAGAGAGAATCGCAGTGTGAAATGGGAACCTGCTTCAAGTTGCAGAAACCTTCATAGGCAGAGAGCACAGAGTCGAATGTCTTCACGAGTGAGAGCAATGACGAAGTCCCCTCTGCAACACAAACCAAATTCAACAAAAACCCAAAACCCAAATTCAACAAAAACCCAAAAAACCCAAATCCAATCACGAAAGAAAATCAAAATCCAGAGAGAGAATTAGAGCACAGACCAGAGGTGGCGAGAAGGTGGTCCTCAAGAACATGAATGGCAACGACATTGTCACCAGTCTCCGCCACTTTAACGAGTGCCCACGTCAGCAGTTCCTTGCTGTGTGAGTCTAACTTCACTCCCACCACCACCGTCTTCCCCCCACCACCACAGCCTGCACCGTCTGTTCCACTCAACAACTTCATCTCATCTGCCTCCGACGCCGATTGTGTCCCACTTGCCAGCTGTCAGACAAAAATCAGTTATATTCTTGGGATGCCGATGCGTATGTAGGAAGATGATTCCAGCGAAGGAAACGAATCCAAAATCCAATGGAAATTCAGATGGAATTACGAATTGCGAATTGCGAATTGAGAAAACGAATCGTGGTCGGTTGTTGTTGAAGAATGGAGAATGGAGAACGGTGGGGACGGAGACAGGGTGGGAAATCTTATGCCCACGATATGAGTGTCCGGCCATTTCGGTCTTGCAATTAATTAACCGCAGGAATAAGGGAACATAATTTCTTTTTTTCTTTTTACTTTTTTCTTTTTCGGACAGAGTTTCTCCTTCTTCCTTTCTTCTGAAAAAAAAAGAAGGTAAGAATATAATATAAATTAAAATAGTACAAGTGCTGGAATCCCATCATAAAAAAAGAAATAAATAATATATATTAATTGAAAACTTTAATTATAAGGTATAATTAGTGTTGTTTATAGATCTGGATTGTTTGCCCTCCTCATTCCATACCTTTCCTATCCCCTACTATTTCTATGGTTACGATTAAGCCACGTTAATATTTTATATTCTCATTACTTTTTGTCTTATTATTTTTATAAAAAAATCAAAATAAAATATTAATGTGATTTAACCGTGATCACAAAATATAAAAAATGATAGAAATGGTATAGGATAAGGAGGGCAGACAATCCAGGCCCATTGTTTATATGTAGGAAAAAGTTTTGGCCAAAGAATGTAGAATGCTCACAAGCTATTATCATGTGCGCGCACAAACCCATGTGCTATCTACAAACGAATCTCGTCTTCTAGAATTTATTATCTCCGTCCTTAGATAACATCCTATTCTTTTTACATTTAAAGTTTGGTTGAAGTACTTTCAAATAATTAATAGCGTATTTTGTAAAAATATTTTTACAATTAATTTTTAATAAACATCTCAAATATATCATAGAAAGATACTTTTAAGTAATTTTTTTAAGAATGGTGCTATTTTCAAAAAACACTTAAATACTTTTGGAAGTCAAAATCAATTTTATCAAAAGCATTTTCAGTCATTTTAAGTGTACTTCTAAACAAGCCCTATATGTATGTTGTAATATCTCACATCGCACAAAGAAATGGATCCTGTAAGTCTTATATGTATATTATTATATCTACCTAGCACGATGCCTTTTGAAGCTCATTGACTTCAGGTTCCGTAGGAACTCTAAAGTTAAGCGAGTTCGTGCAAGAGCAATCCTAGGATGGGTGACCCACTGGGAAGTTCTTGTCTGAGTTATCAGAAACAAAACCGTAAGGGCATGGTCGGGACCCAAAGCAGACAATATCGTGTTACGTTGGAGTCGAACTCGAGATGTGGTGGGGGTCTGGACTGGGATGCGACATATGTTGCTAACATCCATATTTACTCCAAATTAACAAGAGATAGTCTAATTTTATTTTTTGGTTTGAATTTCTACATTTGGTACCATATTTTATGTATTTAATACAATCTCCATTATCTCCATTAGAATGATGAAATGGTGATTGTACTACATATATTTCACATAAATTATAGCTCGTCGCTAGATGATAATTGTATTAAATACATATAAATATAAAAACACTATTACGTGCTATAATAATAAAACCAACAAACTAACTTTTAATTGATTGTGATCGTTTTAAGTTTGGGTCGAGCCAACCCGTTGTGTATCTCTAAGGTAAACAAGGGTTCTATATCTAAACTACATATTAATATAACCCTTATGTCAACCAAAATTTTATAAAATTATCATTATAACTCTCTAATTAAAAATGAACATAAATAAAACATGAGCAGTAATGTAATTTCATACAACTGAAATTTTATTATTTTAAAACCTCATTTATATGTGATTCCAACATATTTCTAATTAAAAAATAAAAAATAAACCTTTTTCCTTTCTCTTCCGATTTCCACGTTGATTCTCATTTTTTTACTCTCTTATTTTATTTTTAAAATAAAAAATAAAAGAATATTCACACACTTCGATGCATAAATAGTACTATAAGTAATTTTTTACAGTAAAAATATCATTTTCATTAAAAAAGAACAATACCAAAAATATTTTACACTTTCATTAAAGTAGGTAAAAAAAGCATGATTTTGTCAAGCACGGGATTTGAGTAACTATGTATTCAAAGCAGGGTTTCCTACAATTATTCGGCCAACCATTCACCGTTCACAATGCCAAGACAAAAGTAGCGTCAATCGGTTTCCAAAAAAATAATAAAAAAAGTAGCATCAATCGTTGTGACAACGAGAATCGAGTCAATGGGACATTAAAGTTAAAACTATTCAAAGTACAAATAAAAACATAAATAAATAAATAAACAAATAAAAAATCAAATGACGCCACAGATCACAAGGCAACAAAACAAGGAACAGGTTTTGATTTAAGGATCAAAATCCTTTTAAAAACTGAGTTTGCTGAGCAAGCAATCGTAATATTTGAAATTTGATCCAACGGTTACAATTATTATAACTTTTAGAAGATCTCTTATTTATAACTGTTGGATCAAATTTCAACAGTCGTGATTGCCTTCTAAGCAGGTTCAGTTTTTTAAGGTCAGGAGAGGATCCTGATCCTTGATTTAATTAGGTTAAGCTGTGTCTGTGTGCAAACATGTGTAGTATTGGTGGTGGGACATTTGGTTGTTTGGTAATGGAGACAAGTTAATTAATGCATACCATTAGATTCTCCCTTTAGATCGAGAAATTTTTCAATATGATTGGCACACGAGATGGTATATCACGTGTTAAATTAATTTTGTCTTACCAATACCATGTGGTATGGTAACAGTACGTCTTCCCTTTTGACAACCTACATTTGGAGGAATTTCAACGAATTTGACAAGTTCATCTAATGCTCGTAACGTAATGAAACTACACGTACGAAATCCATCCCAAAAAGCTATGAAACCAAATTGAAATTTCGAGCAGACCGCAAAAAGATGGATTAAAAATGTAGATTAACAGTTTCATAATATAAATTACCACGTACAATTTATCTCCGTAAAAAATGAATAAAATTTTATTCATCAAACTGTATAAAAACAGATGATCAAAATTAGTAAAAGTTTGAGAAACTATTTATCTACTCTTACAGTTGATTGATTAAACGACCTTGATTTTAAATGATTTTTTTTTTTTTTTATAGAGATGATTTTACAAAGTGATTTATAATATGAACAATTTTGGACGAGTATAAGCAGTCATTTTAACCATTCGTATTCATTGGGTGCTGTTATCGGCACTAAAGTTTTATTTTATGGATAAACGTATGTAATTGCAAGCCATTGTTGATTTGGGATGATGTAAATAATGGGCGTGAAGGCAATGAAGATAATCCTTTGATTTTCATTAGAAAATTATCCTTTCAAATCAACATCACTGTAGAACACTAGGAACCTAACCTGATATATCAACGCTGAACAGTGACATCAATCTTTAAGCAAAAGTAGTCACTAGAGATGTAATCTACGAGGTGGAGGTGCATCAGTTACCACGGTTCGGGCAAACATTTGCGAAGTGTGATGGATCTCCGCAAGCAAAACACCTTCTACCAGAGACGGGATCACCAGTCGCTGATACAAAACTCACACCAGCAGCATCTCCTGCACCCCGGCCACCTCTACCGTTGCCACCACTCCGAGTCGGGTTAGATGCTGAGGCACTAACATTTGCACGCTGAAAACCTCTTCCTCCATTATCATTGTTAAGGCTATCCTCCCATCTGCACAAGGAGAAAGAAGCATAGACCGGGAATTAGATAAGGTAACAACGCGTGTACGGACATGTATAAACACAAACACCCCCAGATGTGTGTTGCAGTTACGATAAAATAAAGATTCAATAAAATTACTTTGTTCAATTTAGATGCAATCCAACGGCTGAAGTATCGAATGCTTATATGAGAAAGACTGAAGAAAAAAAGGGCAAAAACCTTTGCAGGAAATGAAAGTAACAGATTCATAAGGTCCCATTTGGCATCTTAAACAAAAAGCAATTAATTAAGAAAACCAACTTTTTATCTTTACGTACACAAAAAAGTTGCACGCCTGCGATTGACAAGAGTAGAATTTTCTTCCTCTGTTAGCTGTTGTATTAGCTGTTCGTAAAGCACATGGGGCACCACATGTAGAACATGAGGTCGATACTTGTCCTGTAAACACATTACAAAAGCACATTAGTTCGACCAAAAGGGGCACAAACATAAATGGTATACGAACAACCAAGGGGGATCAAAAGGTAAGAAACTGTTGACAAGATAATCATCTGACAACATGCTTTACTAATTAAGTTCCAATAATCCAGAATATGAAATATTTTGTTGGAATGTTTACAACTCACAAATTTAAAAACAAATTTTTTAACTTCACATGCTATGCTCATATAGGTGATAAATCTACATTTTAGGGTATGGTCATGGTGTTTACTGTTTAGAATATATCATATCCTGGAGGCTTAAGCTTTAAGCTTTTGGGATAATTCGTATTTATCACCACCATAACGATTATTTTAATACACTATCTAGTTCCGAAGCACTGATAATAGCAGTATATTATTGTCTCCTCTCATCCTCATTGTACATGCATCGGGAATTAATCCATTCAATATTCTAATTAAAAATTAAACAAATACAAACCAAAAGTCAGCAGTCTTACCACTTTGTACATTCATAGGTCGAGGCCTTGCACTTTGAGGACCTGAAGATTGGGATGGGCAATCGCCGGAAGAATGACCCATTTGATGACAGTATATGCAAGCACCCTGCCTAGTATTACTTTGTTGGACATTGTTGGACATTGCTGGTCCACGCCCTCTTGCTGAATGTCATATGAAACTTAATGTCAAAAATTGGTGTTCCACTGTTTGGCGTTGCATATAACGACAAGAGTGAAATTCTAATAAACATTAAATTAATAGTTCTTAAAAGGATCATGATTATATTTCTCTAAAACAGAACTATCCGAAATTCATCTCTCTAACCTTATGAAACTCTCATTTTGATAGCATACTCCATTTCCATACGACTAACAATACAATACTTCTAACATTATATCAGTCTGCTCTCATCCTAAATGATTGTGCATGCCTCGGCAATTAATCCAGGCCATAGCTTCTCATTAAGAAAATATACAGAAGTTTAGCAGTCATACCACTTTGAACATTCATAGATTGAGGCCTCACACTTCGAGGACCTGAAGATTGGGAAGGGCAATCGCCTGAA